GGTCTTGGCTCACTGCAACCTCCACCTCCCGGGTTCAAGCAATTCTCCTGCCTCAGCCTCCTGAGTAGCTGGGATTACAGGCGCTCGCCACCATGCCTGGCTAATTTTTTGTATTTTTTTTTTTTTAAGTAAAGACGAGGTTTCACCATGTTAGCCAGGCTGCTCTTGAACTCCTGACCTTGTGATGTTCCCACCTCGGCCTCCCAAAGTGCTGGGATTACAGGCGTGAGCCACCACATCCGACCAATAAATCTTTAATGAGTAATTCATAGCCAGGCACCCTGATCAGTGCTGGGGATACAGAAAAAATTTAGAGCCCTTTTATGCAGGTCACAGCTTGTGGACAGCCATATGAACCATGAACCACTACTTTTCTTAAACCTATTTTCAGTAAGTCTTACCTTTCGAGGATAACAAGTTCTACAGACAATAGATTATGAAATTTTAAAGCTGAGTGATCTTAGAAATTATCTTTTTTATCTCACTATTTTACTGACGAGGAAATTGTGTTTATGATTTCTTGTGAAAAGTGCTATGACTTTCTCTTACTTGCCTTCAAATGACCTCACCCAGGTTTCAAGTTTAGTCAGTTCGATTAATCTTTACTAAGCATCTGTTGTAAGCAGCTCTTCGGAAGAGCTGCAGTACAGCTGTGAAGAAGACATCATCCCTGCCCTCAAGGAGGTCATGGTCTAGGGGCAAAGGACACATATGGAGATATAGCTGTGTTGCTCTGTAGAGGCCCTGTTAGCATAGGGGACTGAAAATACAGAAGGAGCTCCTGATTTGGGTTTGGGGAGTTCAGGGGAAGCGTCTCAGAAAGAAGACCTTTGAGCCATGTCTTGAAAGGCAAAGAGAAATGTGTTAGATGGAAATCTGGGGGAAGGGCATGCCAGGCAGAGGGCATGCAGATGTGAAATAGCATGACTTATGGGAGAGCTACAATAGGTTGGTGATGCTGGGGCTTAAGGAGGAAGGTGGTGAGGAATGAGCCTGGAAAGGAGGGCAGAAACCCAGCTCCAGCACGCTTGATGTGGAGCCAGTATGGCCAAGGCCACCCGTACTTTCCTTGTCTGCTCTCTCTGTCTCTCTGAGGTAAGAAGCTCCTCCACACCCCCCTTTGCAGACTAAAGAGGCCTAATTTGTCAGCCTCTCATCTTAAGGCAGCATAAAGAGTTGCTCCCCATTCTTTAATGTGTGGCTTACGTCCCACCACCTCCAGGAAGCCACCCTTGACAACCCTCTGCCTTCAATGAACTCTACTGTCTCGACCACACTTTGGGATCTTCATTGCTGTTTTTCATCACCCCGTGTGAGTGTAACTTGTCTCTACAGTGAGACTTTAAGTTCCTGAGGGTTGGGTACGTGAGTCACATGGTAATGTTTAATAAATACCAGTAAGAATGAGTCCTTTAAATTTGGGTTTCAGGACATATGGCGAGTGTTTGAGCTTTGAGGTTGGACAAGCCTGGGTTTGATTCCAGCTTTATGACTGGTTACTAATTAGTAACTCTGGGCAAGTTTTAAAATCTGTTTAATGCCTCAGTTTTTTCATCTATAAAATGGGTGATGGCCTCAACTCACAGGCTGCTGTGAAGACACGGTTGTGGCTGGGGGCCAAGGGAAGCATTGAGGGCTTTTCAACAGTGGGGCTTTGAACAGGCAGCAACAGCGGGAAGACGCCTGAGTGCGGTGCAAGAGGAGGGCAGTGTGGAAAACCTGACATGATCAGGCCCTGTGATTGAGAGCTCCCAGCTTATTCACTAACCTGTTGGTGCTTGACAGTTACAAAGTACTTGGCCGGTGCTCTCACTGGAACTAAGGAAATTGAAGGCCTGAGAAGATAAGCAATTGGTCACATAGTGGGCAAGTGGCAAAGCTTGTGCTGGTGAGAAGTAAGGCGGAGGGTGGAGTGCACAACCTGTATATAAGGATATAGGAAGCAGTAATGTGCCAATAAATGTTGAACAGCTAGGAAAAGGTGTAGCAAGCGGCTTCCAGGAAAACATAAGCTCTAATTTACAGTGTTAGCCGATTTCTGTGGTGTAAATACTCTGATTGTGACTGATTTCAAGCTGCTAATGTGACGTCACTGTGGAGTTAGGAAGAGATGTATATGGATGATCAGAAGGTCATCTTGCCTGTGGTCACGCAGCCATCCCTGTGGCAGAGAAGGGGTCCAGCCTGGGCAGTCTGACACTTGAGCCCAAGCTTTAAACATGACTGTCTTCCTCCTTCTCCTCCTGTTCATGACAGGATAGCCGTAACAAGGGGCATGAGCTGGCTCAGTGGCATCAGCTGTCAAGTTGCAGCCCATTTCCAGATAACCACTGATATTTGGTGCTGGCATAGTTAGGGCTCTACCCAAGCTATCTCTCATCCTCATCCATGATGGCAGGACATGTTCTGATAGGTCCCATTTGGATCCCACTGGCACCGCCAGGAGAACTGGAGGCAAGAGTCTGGCCAGAAAGGTTAGCTGAGGCAGAAGGCAGCTTATGGGTGTGGAGTGAGTACAGAAATACCCAGGCCTGGAGTCTGTTCTCCAAAATTGATTTTTCACAGCCCAGAAACTGTATCCAGCACTAAAAAACCAACAAGAACAGCACATTTTTGCTACTAACAACATATTCATGATAATTTATTAGAAGATAATTAAATCTAAGTATGCGATCTGGAGCCTTGAACCAAGCAGGTGGCTCTGTTTGGGGATGGAGGAGTGGGAGGGAAATCAGGAATACAGAAGGGAAGGGCAGGGAAGGCAGAGGATGCTGAAGGGGTTGGGGGTAGGTGCTAGAGGGCCTGGTCATGGGAAAACACATGAGACCCCAGGCTTGCATCTGAGGCCTGGTGCTGTGACTTCTAGTGTGTGTGTGTGTGTGTGTGTGTGTGTGTGTGTAGTGGCAGGGGTAGGGGGAATGACTATGTCATTGATAATAATAAGAATCAAGATTATTATTTTATATTTTATTTTTTTTTTAGAGACAGGGTAATGCTCTGCCACCTGGGCTGAAATGTGGTGGCACTATCACAGCTCACTGCAGCCTCAAACTCTTGGGCTCAAGCAGTCCTCCTCCCTCAGCCTCCTGGGTAGCTGGACTACAGGCACTCGCCACCATGTCCAGCTAATTTAAAAAATTTTGTAGTGTCTGGGTTTTGCTATGTTGTCCAGGCTGGTCTTGAACTCCTGGCTTCAATCAATCCTCATGCCTTGGGCTCCCAAAGTGCTGGGATTATAAGCATGAGCCACCACGCCTGACCAGAATCAAGATTATTGTGCAAGAGCAATTGTCAGGTATCTGGGGTTGTGGCTTGTATTACAAGTAATATTTAGCTCTCAATCTCAGGGTTAATGGGGGATTGAAGAGGTGAGAACTGATATACAGAGGGGACTCTGGGCTCATTTGGGGGGAGCTCTGTCCCTCCCTGACCTGGACACTTGCTGCTTACCAGTCAGGAGAGCTGCTTTAGAAGTTTCCTATGTGTATATGTGTGCATGTGTGTGTGCATGGGCTAGTGTGTGCATACAACCATGTACACACGTGCATGTGTGTCCACTTGCTTACATGTTTTCTGAGTGTGTGTCTGTGTATGTGTGCATGGATCTCCTACCCTTTCCTCTTCCCATCTAGGGAGGGAGCTGCACAGAGGCCAAAGGGTGATGGGGAATCAAGAGCCAGAGAGGAAGAGGCCTGCCTTTTAAAACCCCAGGTGTGCTGGGGAATTCCCTCTTGGTGACTTCCTTTCTGATTCCTAATGCTGCTGTGGTTAGAAATGAAAATGAATTCAGCTCTGGTCCCATCCTTTGGAACCCCCTCTGCACACAGTGGGAGCTTAATAAATACTTGATGATGATGCTGAACCTGGGAAGCCAGCAGCTGTTCCTAGCTCTGACTCTCAGAGCCCCATGGGACAAATCAGGCAGGGAACGACCATGGGGGAATCTTCAGTCTTCCTGTCAGATCGCCCTGTGACTCCACACCCAGCTGTTAGGGAAAGGGCTGGAGCCATGGTCCGCTTCACACACCCTGCTTTGGAGAGGCCAGTTCTTCCTCAGCAGCTTCTCTGGTTTTTCCCCTATCCAACATTTGAACAATATTTATTGAACAACCACTTTGTACTGAGTATCATAGTGGAAATGCATCCTGGGAGACAGTATAGGATCTGTAGGGTCAGACTGACTAAGTTCAAATCCCAGCACCTTTAATTACAAGCAGGGTGACATCTGACAAGTTACGTATCTATGTTTGAGTGTTTGAGTGTTTTTTCCCCTTTCCTTTCTCTCCTTCTTCTCCTCCTCCTCCTCCTCCTTCTTCTTCTTCCAATTTTCATCTGTAAAAGGAGAGTGATGACATCATTTTCGTGGGGTTGATGTGAGGGTTGGAAATAACAGAGAGGTGCCTGAACACGCGGCGTAGGCACTCAATCAATGGTAGGTGAGTTTATCCACCCAGTGTTAGGAGGCGTGGATCCCCCCTGCTTCTGTGACCTTGACGTTGTTACTCAACATCTCTAAGCATGAGGCTTTGTAAATGAGACCATACTGCCCACCTCCTTGGGTGTTTGAAGAATGTATCCGGATAATATATGTGAAACAACCTATCGTAAACCCTGGTGGTTAATAAATGTTTGCCTTCCCCTCCGTCTGCCCCCTCATCAGGGTGCACACCTCCCTTCCTTCGGAGGCCTTCTGTCCCTCCTCCCCATCGCCCAGCGTGAGCGAACATCCCTTATCGCCGTGGGCTTGCGGGTTGTGGCCATACCTGTCAGAGGAAAGGGGACAGTGGCTCAGCTCCGGGGTCGGGGAGCAAAAACTACAGTTCCCAGCCCTCGCTGCGCAGCCACTGGGGCCGGAGACGAGGACGCCAGGCCCCTCCTCTGGGGAGGAGCCTATGCGGGGGGCGGAGCTAGGAGGAGGTTGGAGAGTTAAGCCAAGCCAATGAGACCAGCTGCTAATAAGTGGGCTTGGCTTACAATGTAACAGTGGCAGGAGGAGGCGAGCGAAGCTATTGAGCCAGCGAGGAGTGAAGCTGATCCTGGCCTCACACGCTCCTAGAGGACCACCTCCTGGGAGAGTTCTTTCACCCCCTCTTCTTTCTCCAAGCTCCCCTCCTGCTCTCCCTCCCTGCCCAATACAATGCATTCTTGAGTGGCAGCGTCTGGACTCCAGGCAGCCCCAGAGAACCGAAGCAAGCCAAAGAGAGAGGACTGGAGCCAAGACACTGGTGGGGGAGATTGGATGCCTGGCTTTCTTTGAGGACATCTTTGGAGCGAGGGTGGCTTTGGGGTGGGGGCTTGTGCTGCAGGGAATACAGCCAGGCCCCAAGATGGACACTTCTGGGCACTTCCATGACTCTGGGGTTGGGGACCTGGATGAAGACCCCAAGTGCCCCTGTCCATCCTCTGGGGATGAGCAGCAGCAGCAGCAGCAGCAGCAGCAGCAACAGCAGCAGCAGCAGCCACCACCGCCAGCGCCACCAGCAGCCCCCCAGCAGCCCCTGGGACCCTCGCTGCAGCCTCAGCCTCCGCAGCTTCAGCAGCAGCAGCAGCAGCAGCAGCAGCAGCAGCAGCAGCCACCGCATCCCCTGTCTCAGCTCGCCCAACTCCAGAGCCAGCCCATCCACCCTGGCCTGCTGCACTCCTCTCCCACCGCTTTCAGGCCCCCCCCTTCGTCCAACTCCACCGCCATCCTCCACCCTTCCTCCAGGCAAGGCAGCCAGCTCAATCTCAATGACCACTTGCTTGGCCACTCTCCAAGTTCCACAGCTACAAGTGGGCCTGGCGGAGGCAGCCGGCACCGGCAGGCCAGCCCCCTGGTGCACCGGCGGGACAGCAACCCCTTCACGGAGATCGCCATGAGCTCCTGCAAGTATAGCGGTGGGGTCATGAAGCCCCTCAGCCGCCTCAGCGCCTCCCGGAGGAACCTCATCGAGGCCGAGACTGAGGGCCAACCCCTCCAGCTTTTCAGTCCTAGCAACCCCCCGGAGATCGTCATCTCCTCCCGGGAGGACAACCATGCCCACCAGACCCTGCTCCATCACCCTAATGCCACCCACAACCACCAGCATGCCGGCACCACCGCCAGCAGCACCACCTTCCCCAAAGCCAACAAGCGGAAAAACCAAAACATTGGCTATAAGCTGGGACACAGGAGGGCCCTGTTTGAAAAGAGAAAGCGACTGAGTGACTATGCTCTGATTTTTGGGATGTTTGGAATTGTTGTTATGGTGATAGAGACCGAGCTCTCTTGGGGTTTGTACTCAAAGGTAGGGGCTGTGGTTTCTCTTTATACCTTGAACAAAAGGAATATGTAGGTAGCAAGAGAGGGATTGAGAGAGGGGGATTGAAAGAGAGAGATTGAGAGAGAGAGAGAGAGAGAGAGATTGAGAGAGATTGGGAGGGAGACTGGGAGAGAAAGGTGGTGGTGGTGGTGAGAGGCGCTTGCTCAGTTATATTGAACACTCTAACTTCCCGTGGTTTTCCTTCTTGATCCCGGGAGAATTCATTCCTCGCTTCCTTTGGGGGGTAGGGGACATCCCCACACACTGTGTCTAATTTGCAGACTTTCTGTTAGGGAGGATTAAATAATCCCTTCTGAGAAATCCCTTTTCCTCCTGGCTCACTGGTTCTAAAGCATAACCCAGCAGCTTAACGCACCAATTAATTACACTCCGCCTTGATGTGTTTGCCAGTTCCTGCGACTTCCCCTTCTTTCCTCCCCTCCCTGCTCCACTCCATTTTCCTGAGGATAAAAAAGAAATAAATGTCTGGGTGGGGGGTGGGGATTCCATACCATTGCCCAAGTCCCTTCTCTCCCTGTCTTCTTCCTCTCTTCCCAAGTTTCTATTTCCCTCCTCTTCTCAGAAACACTCAGGCAAAACAGAAAACCATTCATGACCTGTGTCTCCTGAGGGCATGGGGTAAAAATATAGGTGGAGGAAATCAGTGGTCCTTTCCCTCAGGAGAGAGGACTCAGAATAAACCTGCTGCTGCTTTGTAAACATCTCCTGATAAAATGGCTACAGGTGTTACCTGGGCAGAGCAGCTGGGCGCCGCCTTGGCATCAGCTGGGGGAGCACCTCTCCTTGGGATGGGGTGACAGGGCTTGCCAGGCGGTCCCCGCGAGCCCGCGCCCCAGCTCAGCCCCAGTTCTCCCCTCCCACCTCAACTCCTTCTCCTTGGGATAAATAAAGATGAGTGTGTGTGTGAGTGCGCGCCCGGATGGAGAACAGCAGGCACTGGCTTTAGGGGGGAGCTGGCCCCACTGCTCCAGCCTCTCAGTCCAGCCCCAAGACGGAGGAGGGGGTTTCCCTCCCAGAGGGAATGGAGATGGAGGAAGGTGGGTTTCTGCCGATGCTCTGCTTGCCGGGGAGCTCTCCTGCTGTGGGCTGGAAGGCTTGGAGACCTGGGAATCAGTGGACAAGTGGCTCCACGATACCCCCACCCCCAATTTGTTGGTGTGTGTGTGTATATGTGTGTAATGTGTGTACGTATGCATGCGCCTGCTTGTTGCTTGGATTTTTCTATTTATTTGTCATTTGGGGCAGGGGGTGGCTGGCCGGGCTGGCCAGCGCGTAGCTGGGAGGGGTTCAGCTGTTGGAGGTTTCAAATAGAGCTTGTTTCAGGCAGGGCACAGCTGCTGCGAGACTGTCACATTCCTTATTGAAATCCAGCCGCAAAAACCTAGGAGGTGCTGATCGGATTTCCCCCATTCCCAGCATCTCGCTTTAACCGGGGATGGGCAGACTTTCCCGCCCTGGAAACGGGTGGGGCAGACCTGTCAGACGACCTGAATAGCCAGGACCAAGACTTCCAGGCAGAGGGTCCTCCAGCAACCCGGTTGCTGTCAGTGGGCTGCCCCAGTGGAGGGCAGCACCTGGAAGCCGCCTTAGTCAAAATAGCTCAAGGATGAGCGTCTCAGCGAGCAGAAGCGAGTGGGGTTTCCCCTGGAATCGCAGCTCACTTAGTCATTCCCTGTAATGAGCCTTTGCGTCTGCGGGTCCTTCTGCTCGCTGCCTTCTCAGAACCGCCTTTCCTGCTGGGCGCTCCAGGAGATGGGGCCGGCAGCCTCGCCAGGGCTGGCAGCTGCCCTGGTCACAACCCTGGCTCTCTCCAGTCCTCCCTTGGAGATCAGGGGCCCTTGCTGGGGAAAACTGATGAAGGCCCCAATGCAAGGGGGGTGTGGGGAAGGGGCAACCCCAGCATCTTCTCTTTCAGTGACACCGTGGTCAGAGTTCTTAAGGAAATGGCTCTTCCCAGAGGCAGTGGCTGTGCACAGGATCTATGCACATTTGTCTTAACGTGACGGGAGGGTCACCACTCTTCAGGATCGGGCCCTCTTCCCTGCCTGAGGCAGGTGCCAACCCTGAGGGGGAACTCAGGGAAAGGGGCTTTCCCAGAGATGCGGAAGGCAGATTTTAGGTGAATGAAGGGGGAGGCCACCTGAGGTGCCTGGCTTCCCCCATTTCTGAATCACGGACTCTCCTAGCAGCAGTGGCGTGCACCGAGGGGACAGCAGCTGAGAGGTCCTTCTTGCCTCAGTTGCCACTTCCTGTGTGCCTTGGAGCTGCTCCTGAGATAAGCAGAGTTCATTGAACTTGCTCACCCACTCACCCATCCCTGCACTGGCCATCCAGGTTTTGAGTCATTTATGGAACAAGTATTTTCTGGGTGTCTCCTGTGTACCAGGCCCTGTAGACACCCTCTCTCCTGGTGGCAAATGGGATGATTTCAAGGAACTGGGCCAGAGTTGGAATCCCAGCTCTGCCACTACTATTTGTGTGATCTTGGATAAGTCATGGAGCTTTAGCGAGCCTGTTTCCCCAGCTGTCGAGGAGGGAGAACTAAATTAGAGACATGTAAGGCACGTATCTGCCTGCTCAACAAATGGGACCTATGGTGATTGTTATTGATGATGACAATGATGAGAGGAAAGGAGATGTCTTTTTCCTGTTATCTAATTCTGGCTATAAAATGAGTTGGGGCCTTAACAGATTGGGATCTAAGACTTGTCAATGGAGTGAGAAGTTGTATCTGGGAGGGAAGAAGTTCTGAGAAGGGACTGGGTCTGACTAGAGACCACCTTTAAACATGGTCTGTTCTTGGGGGGAGATGAATATCTGTGTCCCAGTTTCATGGAGGAACTGGTCTCTTCTCCTCCATAGTCTGGGTAAGATGAGGAGTCACAGCCCAGGAGAGCTCAGGGATATTCAGTGGATCCTGGGGAGGGATGGGTGACAGTCTTTTGCCGGAGAGTTTTGTGTGCCTGGTTGGCCCTGCTGACGAGTCTGGGGGCAGGCGGATGGATGAGGCAGCCTCAGGGGTACCAGGCAGATTAGGTAATTCTGCCCTGCCAATGGCAGCTCCCACTCAAAGGCTCTTGGGAGGGGATTTTTCCCCAAGTGATTGAAGATTAACTAACCTTGTGCCTGAGCTGCTGCTTTCTGAAGTTCTCTGCCTTTTTTCCCGTGGGGTTGTGGCCTTGCTGTTTACCTATGTTTGGTGGGTACCTGTTGCTGGGGGAGCAACTTATCATGCAGGCCTGGGTCTCTTGAAAAGGAGGGTGGCATGTGCCCCGAGCATGTTCAGTTAATGCAAATGGGAGCCAGTGTGAGGGGGTTGAGCAACCGGGACAGAACATCCCCAGCTCCCGCCTCACAGGCCTGTAGGTGCTGATGTTGGAAGGAAGCTCTGCTAGGAGGCATCAGCATGGAGCAGGGAGGTGGGGCTTGATTCCTGGGTGAGCTCAGATAAGAGGGGAGCTTCTCATTATTATGCCTGGGACATGAGATCAAATGGCAGAGAGATGCCTGAGATGGCCCCAATAGGCTCCTAAAGGTACCAGGTGACCCTCGAACCAAATGAGGAGTCCCTTTTTTTTTTTTTAATAGGCAGGTTTACTCTCTGAAGGCTTAGACATTGTGACGAGGCCTGGTCTAGAGATTCTGTTGAGAGTCTTAGTCACGCCATCTCTACCTATCAGTGCCACCCGGATAGAGCAGCAAGGACCTGTGAAGTCCTTCTTGGTGTTCTTGATTTTCTTTTAGAGCTGGTTTGGGACACACCCACTCCATTGCATTAAATTACCTCTATGCTTTCTTCCCTGGGTTCAGAAAGAATTAGGGAGGGGAAAGGCCTGGCTGCCCTCCCCTTTCCCCAGGCTGTGACTTCACCACCCTGGCTCTGACATCATGTTGGTGGCTGAGCTGGTACCTCTGTGTGGCTGGCAAGGCACCCATGGGCCTCATTTCTCAGGACCTCAGGCGTTGGACTGCGGGATCGTCTCAGGGAGGCTGGAGGGTGCTGGTGCGGCAGCGCGGCTCTTCTTTCCCACCAGTCTGTACAACTTCCAGCCACTTCCCCATGCCTGGCCTCGAAACTAGTCTGCATCTCTCCTCTCAGGCAGAACCAGTCCTCTGCCCGCTCCCCCACCATGGCCCCGTCTCGCCTGCCCCACCGACGTCCTGCCCCTCTGCTCCTCTCTGCTGCCCCTGCCTGGTCTCGTTGCTGGGGTAACCCAGGTGGCAGAGAGGAGCTGGTGTGAAGGTGCTTATCTGGGTTGCCCTGTCTGCTCCCATGGTGGCTTCTTTTCCCACCTCTAGTTACTCTTTCTTCAGACAACCTCATAGGAGGCCACCCTGGTGGCACAGGCTTCTCCGCATGCCCAGGGGAGTCTGGTCCTCTGGCCGTTCACTCTTTAAAGAGAATGGCCAAGGCTATTCTCTTAGGCCAAGGCCAACTTGTCTGTCTCTTTGCAGACCTCAAAGAGGTCCGGGAGTCCATCCCCAGCCTCCAGACCAAATGGCTGAGTAGTATCACTGGTTCCAGTTCTGATCCTCTGCTCTCCCTGGTCACAGAGGCCCTGTCTGCAGAAGGGCAGAGCAGCAGCCCAGGCGTGGCTGGCCAAGTGGCTCTGCACCTTCTCTTTGGACCCAGGTACTGTTTTGGGATAGGTTGTTGGCTGTCACAGTGTCCTGGTATTTTTGAGAAGATGCCTCTGGGTACTGGTGCCTGCGTTTCAGGCCATGGTGGAAAAGTAGGAGTAGGATAGATCCTTTCCAGCCCTTTCCATGGACCCTCCCAGTGGGGTGACCTGCAGGACCAGGATGCAGAAGGCAGGAGACTGGTTGAGAGCCTGTGAGCCCGCTGCTGAGGGCCCTAGGCACACATTTTGTCTTCACAGGTCACACTGAGTGTGTCGGCCCACAGGAGGGCGAGCGTGAAAATGGCCTCTGACAGCGTGAAAATGGCCTTCTCTGCCGCCCGC